CCCCACCCAATCCCGATTTTTGATCTACCTCTTAGCCATAGGTGACTCTAGGTAGGGGCGACTCCCCCCGGGTGTAGTTTTAGGGAGAGAAAAGGAAAATTAAATTTAAAAAAATNAATGAGGTTTAAAAAAAATGGGAATTTGGGATGAAATAATTGAAATTGGGGTGAATTTTGAGGGCCGGGAGGGATGGGAGGAAAATTGGGATGAGTGTAAAAATCGGGAATTTGGGACAAACCCGGCCCTGACGCTTTTTGCCGTGGATTTCACGGAGCCCAGCCCTTCCCAGCAGGAATTTTGGGGGAAAATCCTCCAAAATCCTTCCTGGAGCAGCAGGAAAAGCAAAATTTAGGGAAGGGAAGGCGGCACGAGGGAATTCCCTGGAATTCTGCCAATCCAGGGCAAAAAAAATCCAAAAAAACAACCCCGGGAATGACAAAAAAAACCACAAAAAAGCTCAAAAAAAGCTACCTCAGGTGTGATTACCTCAGCTATGGAATATTCTGAATTTTTTTTGGGTTGTTTTCACTTTATTTTGGGTTTTTTTTTTTATTGGGGTGGGGGCTTTTCGCTGATATTTTATATAAGAGGTGCTAAAGGGGAAGATTTTATTTTTTTAATGAAAAAGAGAGAAAAAAAAAAGAGAGAATTTTGGTTTTTTTGGAATTTTTCTATGGAAGAATTCCAGGGCGTTCTCGAGAAAACGCCGGGAATTCTGGACCTAGTGGAAAAGATGGCAGCAGCTTCCTCAGCTTTGACGTTTTTATGGAATTTTAATGGAATTTTTATGGAATTTTTATGGAATTTTTGTGGAATTTTAATGGAATTTTTATGGAATTTTAATGGAATTTTTATGGAATTTTTGTGCCCTTTCCCAGCCAGCTGAGGAATTTCAGCTCTCAGGCATCGGCGCTCTCCAAAAAAAAAAAAAATCCGGGAAAAATTCCAAATTTGGGTTTCCCAGCAGGAAAAACTTGAATTTTTTTTTTTTCTGTTTTATTTTATTTTAAATTTTTTAATTTTTTTCCCCGGGAATTTCAAGGGGTAAAAACCAAACCTGAACCCGGCGCTGGCTGAAAGGATTTTTCCAATCAGATCCAGCCAAATCCATGGATTTTTTGGGAATTTTTCCACTCCTGGGCATCATTTTCTATGCAAAATGGGGTTTTAAAAAGGGTTTTTTGTGCTGGTTTTATTTTCACACTCTCTGAAGCCATAAAGAGATTTTTTTCTATATTTGATAGAAAATTCCTAAAGATCCCAGAATCCCAAGGCGATCCCAATCCATCTTCTCCACTATGGTGCTGTGAAATTTAAAATAAAAATTGTAAAAAACCACAAAAACCACAAAAAAAAATTATTTTAAAAGAGATTTTTTTTTTTGCCTCCGTTTTACCGAGGGGAAAAAAAAAATTAATTAAGAAATGAATGAAAGAAAATGAATTAACGACTCTAATTAACGAAAGGAAAAAAATTGATTTTAAAAAAGGGAAAATAATTTTAAGAAAGGAAAAAATAATTTTTAAAAGGAAAAAAAATAATATAGAAAAAAAAAGGAAAAAAGTAATTTTAAAAAAAGAAAAATTTATTTAAAAAAAGGAAAAAAATAATTTTTAGAAAAAAGGAAAAAAAAAGCTTAAAAATATTCAAAATAATTTTTAAAAATGGAGGAGGAGGGAGAGAAATAATTAATTAATGAATTCCTTCATTAAGTGGGAGCCGATTTTTATTCCCTACAAACGCACAGGGAGGAGGGAGAGGAGAATTCCCAACTCCGAAACCTCCACAGGGTGATTGTTCCTGGTGAAATCCCTTTTTTTGGGTGAAATCCCAATTTTTTTTTAAATCCCTTTTTTCCTGACGAAATCCAATTTTTTTCTTGACAAAATCCCAATTTTCCTGGGTAAAATCCTTTTTTTTATTCATTTGGTACAATCCCGTTTTCCCCATCGTTTTGTCCCTGCAGGAAAATCCCAATTTTTTGGATGAAACATCCAACAAAAAATATCCCAAAATGATCCAAACGAGCCAATTTTGGCGCTGTTTCCCCTCAATCCCACAACTTTCCCACCCCGAATATTTGGGATTGGGGAATTTGGGATCCCCCTTTGGGTTTTTTATTCCCAAAAAAAATTTGGGGTGAAAGGAGCCGGATTTGGCTCCCATCGCTCGGGGGCGTTTTCCCGATTTTCCCTGGAATTTTTGTCAGGGAAAAGCGGCTTTGGAATACTTGAAATTCCCCGTTCCCGGCAATTCCCGACCTCGGGGATCCCAAAATTTCCTAAAAACCGGGAACAGCCATTCCCAAATCCCCATTTCTGGGATTTTTGACCTAAAATCCCAAAAATTCAGGGAATCTTTGGTGCTTTTCCCGGCCCTTCTCCCATTCCTGGAGCTGTCAGAATTCCCAGGGTAATTCCAAGAGGGAAAAATTTCATTGATATCCAAGAGATTCGTGGGGAGGAAGAGACCTCAGAGCATCTCCTGCTTTTTTTCTGGAAAAAAATTGGAAAATGGGGAAAAGCAGGAAAATGGGAATGAGATGGATCTGGAGTGGAATGGAAAAATGAGGAAAAATTCTCAAAAAAAAACAGGAGGAAAATGGGAATGAGATGGATCAAGCTTGGAATGGAAAAATGAGGAAAAATTCCCAAAAAAACCAGGAGGAAAATGGGAATGAAATGGATCCAGACTGGAAGGGAAAAATCAGGAAATATTCCTCAAAAACAGGAAATATTCCCCAAAACAGCAGGAAAATGGGAATGAGTTGGATCTGGACTGGAATGGAAAAATGAGGAAAAATTCCCAAAAAAACCAGGAGGAAAATGGGAATGAGATGGATCAAGCTTGGAATGGAAAAATGAGGAAAAATTCCCAAAAAAGGAAATTGGAATGAGACAGATCCAGACTGGAATGGAAAAATCAGGAAATATTCTTCAAAAACAGGAAAAATTCCCCAAAACAGCAGGAAAATGGGAATGAAATGGATCCAGACTAGAAGGGAAAAATGAGGAAAAATTCCCTGAAAACCAGGAGGAAAATGGGAATGAGACGGATCAAGCTTGGAATGGAAAAATGAGGAAAAATTCCCAAAAAAACCAGGAGGAAAATGGAAATGAGAAGGATCCAGACTGGAATGGAAAAAACAGGAAATATTCCTCAAAAACAGCAGGAAAATGGGAATGAGACGGATCAAGCTTGGAATGGAAAAATGAGGAAAAATTCCTTAAAATACAGCAGGAAAATGGGAATTAAATGGATCCAGACCAGAAGGGAAAAATGAGGAAAAATTCCCAAAAATACAGCAGGAAAATGGGAATGAAATGGATCCAGACTGGAAGGGAAAAATGAGGAAAAATTCCCTAAAAACCAGCAGGAAAATGGAAATCAGATGGATCAAGCTTGGATTGAAAAAATGAGGAAAAATTCCCCAAAAACCAGGATAAAATGGGAATGAGACGGATCAAGCTTGGAAGGGAAAAATGAGGAAAAATTCCCAAAAAAACCAGGAGGAAAATGGGAATGAAATGGATCCAGACTAGAAGGGAAAAATGAGGAAAAATTCCCCAAAACCAGCAGGAAAATAGGAATCAGACGGATCAAGCTTGGAATGGAAAAATGAGGAAAAATTCCTTAAAATACAGCAGGAAAATGGGAATGAAATGGATCCAGACTGGAAGGGAAAAATGAGGAAAAATTCCCCAAAACCAGCAGGAAAATAGGAATCAGACGGATCTGGCTTGGAATGGAAAAAACAGGAAAAATTCCCCCAAAATGAAAATGGGAATGAGACGGATCAAGCTTGGGATGGAAAAATGAGGAAAAATTCCCTAAAAAGCAGCAGGAAAATGGGAATTAAATGGATCCAGACTGGAAGGGAAAAATGAGGAAAAATTCCCAGAAAACCAGCAGGAAAATGGGAATCAGACGGATCTGGCTGGGAATGGAAAATGAGGAAAAATTCCCATCCCCACAGGACTCCTCCAAGAATTCCGGGAAAAGCGGAATTCAGGGAAAAGCGGAATTCAGGGAAAAGCTTGTTTGGATTTTTCCCACTTTTTCTGGCGGATGAGATCCCGGAACCATCCCCAGGCTTTTCCCTCCTGGAATTTTTTCCTGGTTTTATTTTTTTTGGGAATCGCTTCCACACCTGGAACTACCTCAGAGCCACAAGGACATTCCCGCCGGAGGAGGAATTTTGGGATTATTCCAGAAGGGCGGCAGGGTGGGAAAATTCCCGAGAATCCCTTGGAAAATTCTCCAGCACCTTTTGGATCCCGGCTCTTCATCCACGGGCTGGAATTCCCGGGTTTTTTTTGTGGGAGAGGAATTCCCAGGAGCCAAAATCGTGGAATGAGATGGAAAAATGAAAAAATCACGGGATGAGCCGGGCTGGGATGCTCTGCTGGATTTTGGGAATGCTCTGATGGATCCCAAGGGGGTTTTTTGGGAAGTTCTCCTGGAGCACGAGGATTTTGGGGCGCTCCAGGAGAACGTGGGGAGGATTTCTGGGATGGATTCTTGGATCCTGGATCCCAGCATTGGGATGGATTTGGATGCCAGGAGCGGAAATGAATTTTTGTAATCCCGGCATTGGGATGGGTTTTTGGGATCCTGGGAATGGGATGGATTCCTGGATCCTGGGAATGGGATGAATTTTTGGGATCCTGGGAATGGGGTGGATTTTTGGGATCCCATCCCATTGGGATGGCTTTGGATCCCAGGAGTGGAATGGATTCCTGGATCCTGGGAATGGGATGGATTTTTGGGATCCTGGGAATGGGATGGATTTTGGGATCCTGGGAATGGGATGGATTCCTGGATCCTGGGATTGGGATGGTTTTTGGGATCCCATCCCATTGGGATGGCTTTGGATCCCAGGAGTGGAATGAACTCCTGGATTCTGGCATTGGGATGATTTTTGGGATCCTGGGAATGGGATGGATTCCTGGATCCTGGGAATGGGATGGNAGGTTTTCTTCACTTTCTTCTCTCCCACTGTTTTCTTCACTTTTTCCTTTTTCCCTACAAAAAAAATCCCCAAAAAAAAAAAAGGATTTTGGGAAAAAAATTTTATTTTTTCAGGGAAAAAAAACCCCAAAATTTAAATGAAATCCTGGGCAATTTATGGGGAAAAATTTTGGATTTTTTGGGGTAAACCAAACCCAAAATTTAAATTATTCTGTAGAATTTTAGGGGCAAAAAAACCCAAAATATAAATTAAATCCAGGGCAATTTATAGGGAAAAATTTGGGATTTTTTGGGGTAAAACAAACCCAAAATTTAAATTATTCTGTAGAATTTTAGGGGCAAAAAATAAACAAAATATAAATTAAATCCAGGGAAATTTTGGGGGGAAAAAAAAGAAGATTTTAGCTGAAAAAAAGTGGATTTTAGGTGAAAAAATTGGATTTTAAAAGGATTTGGATTTGGGGGAAAAAATAACTTTTGGGAGAAAAATGAGGATTTTTTTTGGAAATAAACTGGGGATTCTGGAGGAGAAATTCAGATTTTATTTTTTGGAATTGGAATGAAACAGAAAATTTTAATTAATTGGAATGAATAAAAAAATTTTAATTAATTGGAATGAATCATAAAATTTCAATTAATCCTAAAATAGAGCTCAGGAATGGATGAGAATCAATTTATTTAAAACCCAAGAATTTTCTATTAAAACCCAATAAAATTAAAATTAATTCAGCCAATTAATTCACTAATTAATTAATTAATAGGCTGAATTAATTTTATTATTTTATTATTTTATTATTTTAATATTAATTAATAGGCTGAATTAATTTTAATTTTATTATTTTAATATTAATTAATTAATCCAATAATTAATTAAGTTGACTAATAACTCATGAAGAATTCATTAATAATTAAAAAAAGCTCAGGAATAAAAAGGAAAATTAATTATTTAGCACCAGATAATTTCTTATTAAAAGCCAATGAAATTAAAATGAATTAAGCCAATTAATTAAAAACTAATCACTAATTAATTCTTAATTAATTAATGAAGATCAACCTCACCTGTCAGGACTTTGGTGCTCGGGACTTTCCTGGGAGGAGAAAAAAAACCCAAAAAAATCAATTTAATTAATAATTATTAATTATTAACCCCCCAATTAAAGGGCAAAATTTGAGCCCCTGGATTTCCCGTTATTGCAATTAACATTAATTAATTAATGAGGGTCTTACTTGGTGCTGGTTGGGGTTTTTTTGGGGTTCAGAACTCGTTTTTTCACCGTTTTCTTTGCCTGGAAATGGGAAAAAATTGCGATTTA